TGGCGGGGACGCGGCGGCCGGCGGCAACGACCACGACCACCGCCACGGCGGAGCGGCGACTCGGCGGTGGCAGCGTCACGACGAGCTGGCCCCGCTCGGCACCCCCGGCAGCAGCAGCATCGGGAGCATCAGCGCCGGCGGCGCGAGCGGCAGCTTCGGCTTCGCGCCGTCGCCCCACTACGGCGGCGCAGGCGGCGGCGGCGGCGGCGGCGGCGGCGGCAGCTCCTCCCCGTCGTCGCTGGGGTCTGCCTCCTGGTTGCCCCAAGTCCAGCACGCGCCGCACCTGCAGCAGCAGCAGCACCTGCAGCGCCTGCAGCAGCAGCACAGGCAGAGGAGCCAGCAGCAGCAGCAGCAGCAGCAGGACGATGACGATGATGGTGATGATGATGATGAGGAAGACGAGGACGAGGCCTTGCAGCAGCAGCAACAGCAGCAACAGCAGCACTGGCCGCACGCGTCCGTACAGAAGCCGCAGAACCCCCTCCAGAGGTCGCCGCCCATGCGCTCGCCGAGATGGCTGATGCAGCACGTGGCCAACGGCCGTGGCGGCAACGGCAACGGCGGCGGAGGCGCTGCCCCTGACTACACGGTGGGCGGCGAAGGGCATGTCGGGGGCCACGGCTGATACGACGGCGGCACCAATGGTGGGCGCTAGGAACCGGGCGCCAGGCCAGGTGGACGCCCAGGCCTTCCCCGCCCCACACAGGTCGTGTCCCTACATCGATGCCAAGGTTCTGTCCCCATACGCGCGAGGGCAAGAGGGGCAAGGGCGGGGGAGTGACCACCCCGGAGATGCCGGGGCGCCGCAGTATGCCGGTGCCGATTTGCAGTCCCCGTGCCTGAGGGCAGGGTAGCAGAAACGTGCGTGCACTGCCATCGGCCATGTTCATGAGTGGAGACTGGGCTGGGCTGCTGCTCTGCTCTTCTTGTCGTCGGTAGGAGGCAACAAAGCGGCGTGTTCTCTGAAAGGGGGGTAGTATGTGCTGGATTGGAGCAATACGATATGTTTTGCAGCTGGATTGATCCACGGGGAGGAGACACACGCACATACGGACAAGACAGAGGGGTAGTTTTGGGCCATTTAGATTTTTGCGTAATGTATTTTGATTGGGGGATCACGAAGGTTTCCAGGGGATGCTGCGCGTGGTAATTTCTATCCTGTGGCATTCGGTGTACCCACTTAGAGGGTGCCATCGAGAAGCCGAGGAGGTAATGTTATTTTTTCTCCTTGCTGTGGATTTTTTTAGTGATGTTTAATGTCTTCGTATTTTTCCGTGTTGGATTGAGTTGGCCCTCTTTTTTTTGTGTGTGTTAATACTGAAAACTGTCCATCGGCCTCGTTGATGAAGTTGAACAACTATTTGTTTTTTTCGTTTGTTTGGTGGTTTTACGTGTTGCAAGGCTTGCGAGAGGTGGGTGGGGGGCATATACCACGATCGGTGGGTGGGTGCCTGATTTGTTTGTTTGACGTTGTTGGTGAAAGAGATGACTATTCCAGCTGACACATAAAATGCCACGGGGTAGTAGAAGGGAGGTTCATGGGTGAGGATACTGCGTACGTGTACAGCTGTTACGTACGTACGGGTTCCTTCCGTATTTTCCTTGGCGACCTCATCGGTTCATGGAGTGCTATCAACGCAGGGTTTTCGTGTTATGCTTTTTTTTTTGTAGTACCGTGTGTGTGCAAGAGATGGATGCGTATTACCACCCACCTGGGTGCGTGGCTCTACCGAGTGCACAGTAAGAATATTCCCATTGGAACCTTGCTTTCCCGGCAAATAAAACGGTGAACGAGTATTTGCTCTCTTTGTCAGCGTTAAGTGTGCACCGTACCATCAATGTGCACTGGCGTGGTGCTAGGGACGATCCCACCAGATAATAGTCAAACGGGCGCACCTCTTCCCCCCCGTCCCTCTCAGGTAGACTAAACTTTGTTTTTGCATCCACCTCTCATTTTTTTAGTGCCGCCTTTATTCAATGTCGTTGTGGTTTCGCTGCTACGGAATGCGTGCATTGAGGGTGCTCTTTTCTGCGCTTTGCCGCGGGGGGGGGGGGGGGGGGATAGGATGGCCATGGCGGCGTGATAAATGAGAGGAGGTGTGTGCGTGGAGCAGATCGTTGCCATGGGCGAAATAATGTCTTGTCTGTGTCACGTGGTCTGTGTGCAAGACCTATTAACGTGTAGTAGCGTGCGGTATGTAGAGTATGTGTGTATAGATGAGGAGAGGGGAAAGAAGAGACCAAGTGGTAAGCTCGTCTCATCCCCCCTCTATTGCTGTCTGTCTTGTCTCTGTATTTCTCTCTATTGTCTCTGGCTCTGGTACGTGTAAACACGTGTGTATGAGGTCACTATCAACCACCCTTTCTTCAGAGATTTCGAAGGAAAGAGCAAGATGACGACCTCGGACTGATGATGATCGCTTTTGTCACACACCAGAGGATGGGGGGGTGGGGGGGGGTCACACACTGGTAGATATTGGTCGCGTCGGAGCCGCAGATGTATGTTTCACCTAAACGTGTTGTCTGTGTCAGCCTTTGTTTTAGTTTTGATGATCGGGCTCGTTGGGTTCTTGTGAGCAAGGCCGTCGGGAGTTAGTTTCAAGTGAAACTCGACCATCAATATCTACGGGACAAAACAAATTGATGGGTGTTTTTTTGTTGGGTTGGATGGATGGGTGTTTGTTGGGTTAGGTGGAAGCGCTTCTTTGGGTGGTATAACTATTTAACTGTATTGTGCTGATTTTCAACCAGCCGTGGTCGCGCTGCGCCCCGCTTGCTTGGTGGTGAGACCTTGAAAACGAACGAACCATCGCGATGATGCTATTCCACCGTCCGGCGTCTACCGCGCTACAGGCGCGGTACGTGACCGGCTGGCTGCACGGGAACTATGTAGACTACTAGTAGACGTCGATGACGAACTAAGTGGCGAAATTTGAGGGCGCGTATCAGAGACAGAACAACAACAACAGCGAAAACAGCAACAACGAAAACAAGAAGAAGAAGAAGAAGAAGAAGAACAACAACAACAAGGAAAACAAGCAACACGACGATAGATGCCAGCGATCGTCTCATTGCTCGTCCCTCCAAAGGGAGGGGTAGACAAACAAAACGCCCCCGTCAACCGAGCAGTCTTTGGGCCAGAGAAGAAGCGATGGGTAAGGCAGTCCAACACTTTCACAACACCAAACAATAAATATACTCCTTACTGCTACCCATTCTTCAATGCCTTACAGTGTACCCTTTTCGGCGGCATTTTTCTCGCTCTCGTGCCAACCTTTATCCACCACTCTCTTACTCTCATCTTCCTTTCCGACTTTGTGGGGGGGGTATACTCATGTAAACACATGCCGTAGTCGTAGACCTCGCGCTTGTGTGTTTGTCGGGTCAACCTTATTTGCGCATGATGACCGACCGTCGTGTGTATGTGCCCTAGAACTGTATCATCATCATCTTCGCTAGACCACACAGTTAGATGGCGCCCATCCATCCCTACATCGCATCCCTATGCTGCAACCAACCCGGGATGGGCCACGCCGGATTTATTTGTCCCCAACCCGAGCTCACAAAACGCACCAAGAGTGGGGGATATGCCTTTACTGTATCGATACCGCCTCTAAACGACGCACCACACCACCTGCGATATAGATATTCCTCCGCTCGGTGCCGAAAGCAAGCGATGTTCTTATTGATTGCCAAGGAAGTACCTCCGGACCGATGCACCCCCCCCCCCCGTGAAGCCGTCGAACACGAGCATGAATGATAATAAGAGGACGAGCTGAGAGATAGTGCTTTCACCGAATTGTCCAAGAAGCTGTTTCGGTTCGAAGGCCCTTCGTCGAGACCGCCCTCGCTGCGGGGGCAGGGGGGTTGGTTGCTGCACTACTCACAGCTACCTTTCTTTGTGTGTCCGCATGAGAAACACGATGATGATGTTAGGCATACACAGAGTAGGTTTGTCTACTACGTACGATGCACTCGATTTCATCTCATCAAGCAAGGCGGCGGCACGGTGTCCTTGTAACGATTGTCTCGGATAAACCTCGGCCATTGGTCGACCCGTTTCCACCTTGAGTTGAACTCAAAGGTCGGAGGAAATGGCAGGAACACAGCACTTCACATTTGGGTGATTTGATCGGTTGTCTTGTGGCCACACTAATAGCGGGAGGGCCGGTCTGACCTCTCTATCCAGCCCCTCTTCGTTAAAGTTCCACAGTAGTAATGAAATATGACTCCGCGGCCGTTACAGGGCAAAAAAAAAACAATTGAATAAAACGCACAGAGAACACGGGCGCGCCGTCGAAACAGGAGTAGTACCGGTGGGACATGGCGTGCGCCGACCCTGCGACCTCGCACACCCACAAAATTCTCCTGTAATCAGAAACGGAACAACAATCGCCGCTCGCGTGCATTGAATCTACGAGCGGTAACGAGAGGCACTATGTAAGTACTTAGCCGGCACACCCCAAACAAACATCTCGGGACACCGCGTACTACTTTTGACGTCCGTCCAAACACGCCGAAGCGAGCACTCCTCCTCACTCGCAGCAGTAGACGTAGCTTCGAGCCACACACACACGCACACCAAAACCATGCATCGACGGGGTACCGCACGGTTCGTTCGTTCGCTCACAAACAAACACGAAAAAGGTTCACATTGGGTTACCACAAACATAAACATATCACACACTTGGACAAGAGCTCTCCCTCACAAGGCGAACGAAACAGACCCCACCCGAAACAGCAATCGCCGAACAGCCGAGACGCGGTAGAAAAAAAAAATTCCTCCTTGATTGAGGTAGGTGCCCTCCATCCGTGGCGTTACTGTCACGGCAAAATACAAAAATCTCCGCCCAGAACACAACCATCACCACCGCTCAGCAACGCCATCGCCATTCACGGCGAACGAACATACAAACAAGCCACGGGCAGGCCGGTCAGTCCGCGCAGACGACACCAAACGAAACCACGGGCGCACGCGCACGCGCGCGAGCGCGCGAGCGCACGTTCTTCACCCCCATCAAGCTGGGTTGAGCGGGGGCGTGTACCACTGTCCTATCGGCGGCGGCGGTGGCGGTGGCGGTGGCGAGTTCTCCGCTTCGTCTCTCCCGCCGCCGCCGCCGCCACCAACGCCGTGCCCCCTTGCGTTCGCGGCTACGCCACGGCGGCCAAAAGAAGATGAAGAAGCAGACGGAGGGAGGAAACCGTCCCACGGTCCCGACCCAAGCGCGGCCTCCGCGTGCGCATTTCCGACGTGGTCGCGGATCCACCTGGGCGACCACATCGGCGGGCTGCTGGCGCTGCTGCCGCCGCAGCCGCTCCTTTGCCCCCCGAAGGGGTGCCGCGGTTTCTTGGAAGGGGTCGGCGCGGATGCCACCGGTAGGGCGGCACGCACATCCTCCTCCTCCTCCTCGACCGGCCGTCGCGAGAAGACCGCAGCCCCGGCCGCCGCGTCGCCGCTGTAGTCGTCGTCGAGGATAGCCTCCGCCGCCTCGGCCGCCGCCGCTGCCGTCGTCCGCGTAACGTCGCCGCCCGATGTCGGCACCGGCGGGGCCTGCTGCCGCGGGGTTTCCCATGGGGGAGCACGAGCCCGCGGAACGCTTGTTGTTGCGGCGCCGAGCGGCGGCGGCGGCGACCGCCGCCGCCGCCGAATCGCGAGCGGGCTCTCCCCCCCGTTGGCACGGCCGGAGAGCGGCATCGCGGCCACTGCTGCCGACGTCGGCGGCGGTTGCGGAGAAGAAGGCCTGGCCGGAGCTCCTGCTGCGCCAGGCGGCTTCGCTGCGACGACGCCGTCGTGTCCATCGCCGCGGAAACCCCAAGAGCGGCGGTCGGTCGACGAAGGCGACCGAGATCGTCAAGTGCTTCGCCCCAGCAGTCCTTCGCAGCAGGACACGGCGGTACCGCACCCTGCCGCGGAGGAGGAGGAGGAAGCAGCGCTGGAACAACTGTACTCTGTCCGGAGCGTAGCGGTGCTGCCGCTCCTCCCTCCGGAAGCGCAAGAGCGGCAGCGGTGGTGCCGGTAGAGGCGGCGCCAGAAGAAGCAGCGACTGCTTTTTCTCCTTCCTGCTGCTCCTCCGTCGTCGTAGTCGTCGGCGCCCGTGGTGGTGCCGTTGCCGCGTCGTCGCCGGCGCTTGCCAGAACCAAGAACGCCTCCGCCTGCGCTACCATCAGGCGCGCCTTCTGGCAAAACACATCCGTGCCGCCGCCGCCGCCGCCGCCGACACCGCCGACACGCCCGCCGTCGTTGCCGTGGAAGCCGCCGCCGCCCGCGGCGGCAGCGTTCCGAAGGCGGCCCTCGGCCGTGATCAAGCGCTCCAGGAGGACGGACGACAAAGACGTCAGGTCGCCGATAATCGCCCTCATGCGCTCCTCCCTCGCCGATGGCTCCGTTCCTCGCCGCGCGTCCCCCCCCCGCACCGCCGCCGCCCGCGGCCGTTCTCCCTGCTGGACGACGGCCGCTCTCCTGACACCGTCGTTGCGGGAAAACGCCTTCTTGGTTGGGTTGGAAACTGCTGCACCGGTCTCCACGGCCGCGGTGACGGCGACTGGGGGTGGTGGTGGAGGTGGCGAACTCGCCGGGAAAACCTGAGCTTCCAGGAGATGGATTCGTTCCGCCAGATCGAGCCCATCCCTACCGCCCTGCTTGTGGAAGGGCAACGATGAGGAGGGGGGAGGCCCCGCGCGGTGGTACTCCCAAGGATTGGCGTGGTTGAGAGGGTCGCGTTCCTTGCCCACGTCGAGCCCGGTGTCGGCGGAAACGTGGTCGTTGTCGTGGGCGGCGGCCTCGTGGCGGCGGCCAGGGCTCCGGCACGTTCGCTCGCCCGAGGTCGCTGCTGCTTCTGCTCCTCCCGCAAGACCCGCCGAAACGTCTTCAGGCTGGTCGTCGTCCTCGCCTGCCCGACCCCCCTCCGGCTGCCCCTCCCCTGCCGTGCTCCTCTGCTCTGGGCCCGCTCTGCCGAAGGTCTCCAGGCGCCCGACTCTCTCGCTGAAGGCCCGAAGGCCCGCCTTGATGCCGGCCAGGCCCGTTTCGGCTCCGCCGACCCGTCGGCGACAACCACCGCCCTTGCCTCCGCCCCGGCCCAAGCCAAGGGTCGATTCCACCTGGCCGCCGCCGTCGTCCGACCCGCTGCCGCCGCCTCCCCCTCCGTCACCCGGGTTGTTGCCGTCGCTGCTGCTGGGTGTGGCACGGCCTTGGTTAGCAGCGGCGGCGGCAGCGCGAGTGCTCTCGTCGTCGCCGCCTTCACCGCCGTCATCGCCGCCGCCGCTCCCGCCTCCCGCATATACAGTGATGGTCACGTCGTCCATTCCAACACCCTCAGCGAGCTCGCCTCCTTCTTCGATGCCCGCCGCTGTTAGATCAGCGTCGGGGGTGGCCGGGACGGAGGGTACTACGGCAGCCTCTCTTAGCTTTCGGCCGCCGCCACCGCCGCCGCTGCCGCCGCTGCCACCGCCGTAGATGGTCAAGACGCTGCTGGCGCTGCGGCAGTGTCGGAGTTGTTGCCGAGACGGGTGGCGCTTCTCGTCAGCGGACACCGCGCTACCGGCACGACTCTTGCGCGATTCTTGCCCCTGCTCCTGCTGCTGTTGTTTCGCGCTGCGCCCTCGGATCACGTCAGTTGCTACAACCACGCTCGAAGGCGGACCCGACGTCGCTTTCTCCGGAGAAGACCCGTTGCTGCCGCCGCTGCTGCCGCTGCCGCTGCCACTGCCGCTGCCGCTGCCGCCGAGCCCAAACACAAGCGTGTTGTGCTTCGAGACAAGAGCGACCTTGCGCCTCAAGGCCTCCTCCGGGGTGAGCCGGTACTGCGACGGGTCCTTCAGGCTGTCGTCCCACTCCGGTCTCTTGCGAGTCGTCGGGCGTCGGGCGGGTACGGCGGCGGACGCGGAACCCCCCGCCCTCCTACCGGCCGACCGGCTTCGGCCGCCGCCGCCACCGCCGCGCCTGAAGCTCTCGACCTGGCGACCCGTGCTCCAGCCTCGAGCCCGCACCTTCTTTCGTGCCGTCGATTCCACGCCCCTCCCCCCCCGCCCCCGAGCGGATGACGGCGCCGAGCGGCCAGGCCTGGCGGTGCCCCTCCTACCAACAACTCCCGCGGCAGGCTCAAACTTTGCCCCTGTTGCCGGATGCTCCGCGCGGCGCGTGGCGGAGAGGCCACTGCCGTAAGAATCGCCGTTGCGGCCGGTGGCCGTTATGGGCGGGAGTTTCTTCCAGCTTCCCGGGAGCGGCGGCCCCAGGCTTGTGGACGCGCCGTCGTGGTGGCCGTCGGCGGAGGCGGCGTTGGTCTTGTTGGCGCCGCGGCCTTGAATCTCGCGCGGTCTCAGGCCGGTCTTGGTGAACATGGTCCCGTGACACACGACCTGACACCGGCAAAAAAATGTCAGGCGTTCCATACGGGGCGTTGCATGATGCAACGAGCGGCGGATGCAGCGTTTTTTTTTTTTTTTTTTTACCTTTGACAAGCAAAGCGCGCCACCAGATAAATCGGTGGATGCACTGCGGTGTGTGTGGAGCTGCGCGTGTTGTGTCATGTGCTAGCCATGTACCCCGACCTTGGATTAAATAATCGCTTTTGAACCGCCGTCGGAGCAGGTACGAAAGTACACATCGAGTGTGAGACAACCAACCTACATACTGAATGGTCGGAGAGATAGCACCGGGTGCGATCGTCCTCTTAAATGTTTTTTCCTTCGTTTTTTTATCGCACCCCGGTTCCATATCTCCGACCGGTGCCATCTCTCCGACTATTACAACGGAAGTACCAGATAAACAAAAAAACACCAACAGTCTATACTCCATGCGTTCCTGTGGTCGAAACAAAAGCGTTTGAATTTGGCTGCTGATTGTACACGGCTCAAGGATTTTCACACTCCCTCGGCTGTGCCACTGCTCTGGCTGTTGTGCTCCATGACGGCGACACAGAGCGGGCAGCAACCGATACGAGTGGGACAAAGTCAGCGTAGGAGCAGCACCCTGTTGATACCATGTTTCAATGATTCGAAGTCTAGACTAAAGAGGACTGCTTTCAAGTCTACAGCCGTAGGCTAATCTACAGTACACCGATGCACGATGGATGATGAAAGAAGGAGTTTCGCAAAAAGCGTCAACGCGCCACAACAATGGCAGTGCAGACTTTGACAATCATGAACAACCGCAGCAGCGAGCTCCTCATGCTGCCTGCCATGGATTTTGGCGGTGGGTTGATGTTTTCAAACTTCAAACCTAAACGCTGTTGCGGAAAGGGCCATCAGATGGACCACGGAAGAAAATCAATGCAACCGTCGCAGAACGCACATCACTCTTGCGGGCAGCGCACAAACGCGATGGCCACTGCAGAAATCATGAGTATGTGGCTCCAAACGTATCTCACCTTTTCAAGATGTTTTCAAATCAAGATGCCCTCGAACCAACCAAGCGGTAGGAGACTAGAGCGCCAAAACGTGGCGTCTGGTGGCAACAGCTTGGATTACGAAGAAACCAGTTTGCCCTGGCGATGGTCGCCTCCCGCAAAATTCAAGAGCGCCCTCTCGCAAGGATGACCCTCTCTGACGCTGGCAAGCTCCAATCCAAGAGCGCCCTCTCGAAAGGATGACCCTCTCTGACGCTGGCAAGCTCCAATCCGCTTTCTCGAGTAAGCTCGTTGCACTCACGCGTTAGCACTGACTCTAAATCGTTAGGTGTGCGCGGGACATTTCAAAAATATCCTAGCCGACGGCGCCTCGCGAACCCCCGAAACCCTTTCGCTGAAACAGAAAACGGTCTTGTTGAGCCTGTTACCCGCAGGGGAGATGTCCCTATATGCTGTCTGGGAAATCGTAGACATACAGGTACTTTCTGACGCTATGAATTCATTGCTAATCTGTCTCAGACTCTCTTCTATGATAGAGATGGATTCGTTGTGTCATATTAAGAAAAAAAAAGAAAAAAAAGATAGCCCACACGGCCACACCCCTGTTGCACACACAGCACCTGTTGTGTATCAGGAACCATGCAAACCCACTGACAGCCCAAGGATGTGCTACCCTGCTTTCATGTTTCAACCACCGCCGCCACAAATTTTATGTGTCTTGCGAGAGGGAGAGTAACAAAATCGAAGCGAAATTCGACGCTATCACCCTATGTTTATTGGCAAGTAATTAGTGATGATGCGGCGATGAAGTGTGCAGCGGGGAAACAGTAGTGCCGGCAACAGCACCCAGGCCCTTCAGCGTTTCAGCCATGGGCACCAGCGGTGAAAGCTTTTCTTATGCTTCAAATAAAAACGTCAAAAATTATCACGAACACGATACGTGCAGCACCCGCGCGACGTTGGAGTGCATGCGACATCAGGTGTTTGGGCCTCTCGTAGACAAAATGAGTGGAGTCGCTGCTCACTACCTTCTCCACGAAAGGGTTGTTGTGTATCGGAGTACGTTAAGGCAAGCGGCCCGATTCAAGACAACAGATAGGTTTTCAAATAATGCTTTTACTTTCAACGACCCCTTGCACGGCTTTCGTACTGTTGATTGTTAAACGGTGTCACACGGAATAGGATATCATGCTGCAAACGACATGTTCCAGCTGAAGAGGGCAGGCCATCGAATTGTAGGGTAACCTCGGTCCAGACAAAGCCAGTTGCTGCAAGTGCGGGCATTTTCCACGGTGATCAAGTGTAAACCCGAGCGTCTTCAAACGACATGTGTTACCAAGACATGATGAAATGCGAACGTCACGTTGACCAATGCCAGAAATCAACAGCATCGTCATGTGGCTAGCCACACGAAAAAGGAAACACACGCTTCATACAGATCTTCGGCACAAAACGTGTGAAACAAAAATAACTAGCATCGCCAACAGATCTGTGCGCATCATACATGAGCAAGACCATACGACACGGGCAGAGGGGCAAACTCCGCACGTCCCATTAATCCGCCCCATCAACAAGGGTTTGCAACAAGCCGTCTGGGTATATGTTAGCACGTGAGGTATTTTTTCATTTCGAAACTGTCTTTTCAACGACAACTTCAGTTCTCATCACCAAGAAGGCATCCCCGTCTTTAAAAGCACGGGTCATATCAAGCATCAACATGACGACCAGAGCTGAGGCCCTTGCGACAAGCCCTCTAAACCGGGAACACGCAAAAGCATCATCTCTCAACCATGAAAGGAGACCATCTGTACCCGCGGTGAAAAATCAACCAAGGGCGTCGCCTATTTTCCTTCCCAGGAACACGAGTCAAACGCCATCTAGAGTCGGCTCTAATTACCGCAAGGCTCTCGACAAGCTGCTGCCCTTGCGAGAGCACCATTGCCTGCAAACGATCTTCGGGTACTTCACCAGATATGACTACGTCGCGCTCATCCCCAGCAACACCACAATGTCTCCTGCTGCTGTGCAAACGACCGGACGAGCCGGTCTGCTCGACGGCAGGCAACTCTGTGGTCGAACGGGTAAGGTAAGATAGCTACTTCTTCTTCTTGGTGGAGACCTCCTTCTTCTCGACGGACTTGATGACGCCGACGGCGACGGTCTGGCGCATGTCGCGGACGGCGAAGCGGCCGAGCGGGGGGTACTCCTGGAAGGACTCCACGCACATGGGCTTGGAGGGCTCCATGTTCACCATGCACGCGTCGCCGGTCTTGACGAACTTGGGGTTCTCCTCCATCACCTTACCCGAACGGCGGTCCATCTTCTGGGTGATCTCCTTGAACTTGCACGCCACGTGGGCGGTGTGGCAGTCCAGCACCGGCGCGTACCCGTTCGAGATCTGCCCGGGGTGGTTCATCACGATGACCTGTTCGTAACGGGGAGGGGAGGGGAGAGGGGAAGGGATACGGGATCAAAAACGACAGTCAAAACAGGACAAAGGCACTAGCAACCAACACGACATGTGCTGCTTCTCGTCTGGGAAAATTTCTATGGGGTGCTGCTGCAACACTGCGCGGAACGCTTCCTACAAACAGCAACGAAAAGAGTGTACTTCCCACCCTGCCAAGAAACACAACAACACACACCCTCAACGACTGACCAAAAATCAGCACCGCAACCCGTGTAAACGCATGCATACACCTACTACAACCATCGCACCCAACAACTGCACGAACCTGGGCGTTGAAGGCCGAGGCGCCCTTAGGGGGGTCCCTCTTCGAGTCACCCGCCACGTAGCCACGGCGGATGTCCTTGACGGACACGTTCTTCACGTTGAAGCCGACGTTGTCTCCGGGCACCGCCTCGGGGAGAGCCTCGTGGTGCATCTCCACGGACTTCACTTCGGTGTCGAGCATGCAGGGGGCGAACGTCACCACCATGCCGGGCTTGAGGCAGCCCGTCTCCACGCGGCCCACGGGCACCGTGCCGATACCGCCGATCTTGTACACGTCCTGGAGCGGCAGGCGGAGGGGCTTGTCCGTGGGGCGGGTGGGCTCCTTCATCGTGTCGAGCGCCTCCAGCAGGTAGGGGCCCTTGTACCATGGCATGTTGGTCGACTTGTCGATCATGTTGTCGCCGGCCCAGCCCGAGATGGGCACGAACGGGATCTTCGCGGGCTTGTACCCCACCTTCTTCAGGTAGATCGCCACCTCCTCCTTGATCTCCGTGTACCGGGGCTCGCCGTACATCACCGACGAGTCGTCCATCTTGTTGATGCACACGATCATCTGCTTCACGCCCAGGGTGAAGGCCAGCAGCGCGTGCTCGCGAGTCTGCCCGTTCTTCGAGATACCCGCCTCGAACTCTCCCACGCCCGAGGCCACAACCAGCACGGCAACGTCGGCCTGCGAGGTGCCCGTGATCATGTTCTTGATGAAGTCGCGGTGGCCGGGGGCGTCGATCACCGTGAAGTTGTACTTGGGCGACTCGAACTTCCACAGGGCGATGTCGATCGTGATACCGCGCTCGCGCTCGGCCTTGAGGTTGTCAAGCACCCACGCGTACTTGAACGAGGACTTGCCCAGCTCGGCCGCCTCCTTCTCGAACTTCTCGATCGTACGCTTGTCGATACCGCCGCACTTGTAGATCAGGTGACCGGTCGTGGTCGACTTACCGGCATCTACGTGCCCGATAACCACCAGGTTGATGTGGATCTGCCAACACACCAAATGCCCGGATAGGAGAGGAAGCAGGTGGTTTGTATACGTTGTTCAGAGGCGTCGCAACCGAGCTCACGACTCATCGAAGCGTTAATGAATCAGTAAACACAAAATGGCTGGCGACATTTGTCGAGGTTTCTGCATATTCCTGGGTTACGTGTACTGACTTTATTCGCCTTCTTGCATGGTGGATACTTGCACGTGGCAGTGAAAAATACCTTGATCGCCGCAAATCAAGTCAGGGTGCCCTACAATTTAAGTTCCCGCAATACACGGGATTCCCAAATTATTTGTGGTTGCAATGGTGGCATGGCTCCACATTGCAGTACTCGAAACTACCACGTTGCTGTACGTGGATCGTTATCGAAAAAAGGCGGATACCATGTATGTTGGATGGGCTCGATGTTGGATGTACCCACCCTTTTAATGCTGAAGCAAGCAAGTCGCATGCAACGAAATATGCGACATGTTGAAAATAAGTGGGAAGGCGGGGGCGGCAATGCCAGCTGCGGTGTTTCTTTGTATGTATTCCATTGCCACGCTGCTTTAAACAAGAAACCCTCATGGACGTAGTAGTCGGTCGGCTCAGATTTACAAGGGAATTTGAAAGACAGACGTCATCCTCCTGACACATCGCCCACAAGCAATCCGTCTTATCTGATGGTTCTACATGTCACCTTTTCGAAGACACTTGACAGACCAAGTGTGACTGCAAAAGGGTGAGACCTTCGGTTGAAGTCAGGTTAACATAACGGATCCAGTACATCGGACCACCGAAAACAACCATCTCCGTCCCAATGTGCGCTCGCACTGGCGACGAAAAAATCTCGTCGAACCGCGTGCATTGTAAAATGCTTCTTCTCTGCCCAACTCTGAAACATCAAGGCAACGGAAACGCGCCTGCCGTGCAAACGAGGCGCGCTGCCAACACGGCACGACGAAAAACAACAGTCTTGACAAACCGGTGTCAGATTTAGTAAGCGCCCAGCACTTACTTTGGACAAACGCGACCCGGCCACTCTCCGCTACGTACAAAAAGGTTCGGAGACCAAAAAGGAGTGATGCACGTGTATTTTGATCCAACAGTCTGAAAAACTCAAAAGAACGGCGAGAATCTCAAGCCATGGACGCACCTTTTCCTTTCCCATTTTGGCTGGTGGATTGAGCTAAGAAGCTGGAGTCCTAATCCCGCCAAGCACGTTGCGAGGGGGCGTCAAAGACGAGCGGCGAGAGCGACAGGGCGGCAGCAGAGACGTCGTGTGTTTGAGTCAGATTAGTTTACAGTCGGGGGAAATCACGACGGGGTTGGTTTGTGGTGGAGATTGGTTGAAAGAAGGATTCCGAGCGGTGTGTCGGCTCACGCGCTTCCTCTGTTTTATAAAGCGATCAGCAGACGAACGCCAGGAGGTGTACCTTGCGTCACAGCTTCAGGCTCGCGAACCACCACATTGATGATACTGCCAAGATTGTTTCGCCTGTTCTACGGCAGCGACGGAGAAACGCTGCGCGTGTGTACATCCACAAAAAAATGCTCACAGCGTACGAGCGCGTGCGCGATTGGTTTTGGTTTGCGCGCGCTTTCGCAAAAAGAAAGGTCTGGCCAGCCGCCTCGCAACCCGGTTTCTCCGCGGCGCCAAGCAACTGAACAAGCATCGCCCGCATTGAATTGCCTCCGAACGCAAATACTGGGGCAACTTCAAGGCGCGCGAGTGATTTCATAGATCGGTCCTGTGCAGGATGGGATCACTTTACGGCGAAAGGGGTGGTGGGGAGGTCTTCTACTGCCGCCAACAACCCAAAGACAACGGAGCTGATGAAATAAAACCTAAACCTGCGCAAAAGTCGCAAGCAGCATCGGCGGTGTGCACTAGGCGCTCTGGGTCCTGCCACACTCAACTCGGGAGCTCGGTCGTACCTGAGAGGTCGAGGGGTTGACTTTTCCTCACGTGCTAGGGAGAAGAAGTGACAGCGAGCAGGAGAGCGGGCCGCGGGGGGGCCGGCTAAAGAGAATCGCGCATCCCAGACACCTATGTTGCACAGTAAATATGGTTTTATGGGCATGGGGGGTCATCCCAGTTTGTTTTTTTCGGTCCCGCTCCACTCAACGCCTCACACCCACACCGCACATCAACGTGTCCTCCAGTCTCATTCAAGGTAAGCCGCGGCCGACGACAACAATGCTACATACAAGATCCGCGAATACCCCATGGGATCGATGTTCGCCATGCCTGTATCGGAGCTCGTTGTTGTTACTTTTGTGTGGGTAGGGAGACCGACCAAGTGATCAAGCGGTCGCGCGACCGTGATGATCTTTTCTTTTCAGCAATATGCAAATGTTGGCGCAATCCTGGGGGACGAGTTGCTCGCGAGCGCTGTCTTTGTTTTTTGGCATCCCAACAACCAGCATTCAATCATGGGCCCCCTGCTTGATTGAAATTTCATGTTGGTTGTGTTTTTGCGTCCATGAAGCTCTGGTCTTGATGCCGTATCGCAACACGCGCAGCGGTCACCATTCGATTTTGAGAACAATCCCACCGCATTTCTGACCGGGATGGACAGCCATACGATACGCACGAACCACCGACTGGGTCGTAGCCCCACACTAAGGCCTCACCCCGGAACGTTGCCGTTATCGCCAATCAGTAATCCCTTTTGTGCTTTTGGCGTTCTCCTTGACCATCGATCTAACACGAAGCGTGCTTTCCTCCTCCTTTCACGCCGTGTGTGCCACCTTCGCGCGTGTTGTGTTTTTGTGGATGGCCTCGATTCCTGCCCCGCTGCCGCTCGTCTGCTGTTTGATTCAACCGGACGGATGCCAGACCACATTCGGCCGGCCTATCTCGTTGTGAGAACACCCTTCGAGCAAAATGGGAAAGGAAAAGGTGCGGAGCTCCTGTTGACTTTAATTGTTGACTCGTCGCGCAACTGTTTGACGTGTCGTACACTTTGAAGGCCGCGTCCCAAGGATCAGCCATTCATGCATGCAGCAAGTTGGTGGTCTACAGCAGTACTGCTGCTGTACGCCGTAGACCCAAGCGAACAATTTCATGGCACGCTCGCACCATTCTCCGGCGAGACTTCTTCAAGCCAGTCGACTTCTTACATTCTGCAAATTCATTCGTTGTCGGCGTCGAAAAGTATTTCAAGTCTTCGGCCAGAAGCCACGACCGTCCGCGCCAAGGAACTTGTTGTTCTCGTCCCAAACGCTCTGTTGCAAAGGTTACTGGTGGTGGCCTTGACCACCTGCTCCGCGCCGTCGGATTATGCAGATACATCCATCGGTAATCGGTTACCCGAAACAGCATTCATATTGCTTCAGCAGTAACGCAGTAGTGTGTTCGCCATGGCCAGTCCCATATCTGGCATGTACTCCAGTACCCTCGCATTCCCGTCGGGATCATGGCGTGCCCGTGTTAGCCGGAAATGTACATTTATCAACGGATTGGACGGTCCGATGCGGCATTTAGACAGCACCCGCACTAGTCTGTAGATGTGTTGCGTATTGCTGTGTGATAGATATGTTGCTCGCTGACTACACAGCAATTGCTTATTCCCAGAAACTCTGCGCGCGCTAGTGAATAGTCGAGAAGGTTTTTTTATTTCAATTCACGGTCTTTAATAGAGCCCTTCCAAGTTGATTGAACAGCATGGTGTTTTCGGTGTCGGAAATGGCCGAACGAAGGCGCGGCACGATGTTAACAGAGAACGTAATGTCGTGGCCTGGTAAATTCCCTCAAAGCGCAACACGCTCGCAGATCTTCCGCTCTTTTCATGGGAAATTGTACATGTGGAGCATTTATTGACTTGATCCGTCTTGTTAAACGACTTTGGCGGCGCGAGTTTTCCCTGCCGGACTTGCCGGCTACGGGCTGTTGGGAATGGCCGTTGTCCTCATCGTTCCCTCTCCCCTTTGTGCCTGACGGGTGTTACAATGGGAACGCCATATTAATTGTTTTTCTCGTCAAGCACGCTCCACGTGGTTCCAATGAGACCTCTGACACCGAAATAACCCTCTTTTTCTCTCCTGTCCGGGCGTTTGGTGTGTTGGCAGATCCACATCAACCTGGTGGTTATCGGGCACGTAGATGCCGGTAAGTCGACCACGACCGGTCACCTGATCTACAAGTGCGGCGGTATCGACAAGCGTACGATCGAGAAGTTCGAGAAGGAGGCGGCCGAGCTGGGCAAGTCCTCGTTCAAGTACGCGTGGGTGCTTGACAACCTCAAGGCCGAGCGCGAGCGCGGTATCACGATCGACATCGCCCTGTGGAAGTTCGAGTCGCCCAAGTACAACTTCACGGTGATCGACGCCCCCGGCCACCGCGACTTCATCAAGAACATGATCACGGGCACCTCGCAGGCCGACGTTGCCGTGCTGGTTGTGGCCTCGGGCGTGGGAGAGTTCGAGGCGGGTATCTCGAAGAACGGGCAGACTCGCGAGCACGCGCTGCTGGCCTTCACCCTGGGCGTGAAGCAGATGATCGTGTGCATCAACAAGATGGACGACTCGTCGGTGATGTACGGCGAGCCCCGGTACACGGAGATCAAGGAGGAGGTGGCGATCTACCTGAAGAAGGTGGGGTACAAGCCCGCGAAGATCCCGTTCGTGCCCATCTCGGGCTGGGCCGGCGACAACATGATCGACAAGTCGACCAACATGCCATGGTACAAGGGCCCCTACTTGCTGGAGGCGCTCGACACGATGAAGGAGCCCACCCGCCCCACGGACAAGCCCCTCCGCCTGCCGCTCCAGGACGTGTACAAGATCGGCGGTATCGGCACGGTGCCCGTGGGCCGCGTGGAGACGGGCTGCCTCAAGCCCGGCATGGTGGTGACGTTCGCCCCCTGCATGCTCGACACCGAAGTGAAGTCCGTGGAGATGCACCACGAGGCTCTCCCCGAGGCGGTGCCCGGAGACAACGTCGGCTTCAACGTGAAGAACGTGTCCGTCAAGGACATCCGCCGTGGCTACGTGGCGGGTGACTCGAAGAGGGACCCCCCTAAGGGCGCCTCGGCCTTCAACGCCCAGGTTCGTGCAGTTGTTGGGTGCGATGGTTGTAGTAGGTGTATGCATGCGTTTACACGGGTTGCGGTGCTGATTTTTGGTCAGTCGTTGAGGGTGTGTGTTGTTGTGTTTCTTGGCAGGGTGGGAAGTACACTCTTTTCGTTGCTGTTTGTAGGAAGCGTTCCGCGCAGTGTTGCAGCAGCACCCCATAGAAATTTTCCCAGACGAGAAGCAGCACATGTCGTGTTGGTTGCTAGTGCCTTTGTCCTGTTTTGACTGTCGTTTTTGATCCCGTATCCCTTCCCCTCTCCCCTCCCCTCCCCGTTACGAACAGGTCATCGTGATGAACCACCCCGGGCAGATCTCGAACGGGTACGCGCCGGTGCTGGACTGCCACACCGCCCACGTGGCGTGCAAGTTCAAGGAGATCACCCAGAAGATGGACCGCCGTTCGGGTAAGGTGATGGAGGAGAACCCCAAGTTCGTCAAGACCGGCGATGCGTGCATGGTGAACATGGAGCCCTCCAAGCCCATGTGCGTGGAGTCCTTCCAGGAGTACCCCCCGCTCGGCCGCTTCGCCGTCCGCGACATGCGCCAGACCGTCGCCGTCGGCGTCATCAAGTCCGTCGAGAAGAAGGAGGTCTCCACCAAGAAGAAGAAATAAGTTGTTCGTTTGAACCGCGCAATTGAGTCTGGGTTGGGTCGTGCACTAGTTGGATGGATGACGCTTGCTTGAATCTTGGTGTGATCTACGTTGCTTCGTGTTCCTGCCTTCGTTGATTTTAGTGTTAGCCTTGACTCGGAGGAGGGGGAGGACCATTAACAGGCACAGAGAAATGGCATGGGGGGATGATACCGGTTGATGGTGCCCTTTGCAGTTTCTTATGGCCTCGGTTCAACGGGCTGACTCTGTACTAGTAACCATGGGCTGGGATGATCGAATGGGTGGCGATCATGTCGATGGCATCTTTTTTCTCACTTCATCTCCGAGGGTAGTGTTCTTGTTACGTTCTTGGGTGTGCTCATTCTGGTGTGAAGTTTTGAACTAGAAGTCCGCATTTTTTTCTTATATTTTGTAAGGGGTTTATGTTGAATCCGAGTTCATGACGTCAGGGTTCAACTTCCAACAGAAAGTGACGGCACCTATTTGTTGTGTCTTGTGTTTTCTCGTGAATTGATTGTTTCTCTTTTTTTTATGGACTTGTCGTTTTGTCATTTTAGTGTTTTAGGAAGTCCAGCGAGTGAGAGGTTGAATTTCTGGCGTGGTGGTATCCCCGAATTAGGTGTAAACTGTTTTTCGATGAACATTTTGGTTTCTTGAAGCCGCTCTCCACTTCTTAGAGGATTTTGTAGGGACTACGGTAGGGTTCACTCTTCTGAACCGAGAAAAACTACGCAACTTTCTTTTCCCTTGACTTCAACGACATTTTTTGCGGCGGTCGGTACCGCCTCGGGGGATTGATTGCCTGGGGACCGTCGCCGCCGTCTGTTGGTGCTATTTGTGCAGTGGCACGAATGGGCGAGTCCCACCATGGGACGTTCCGCAAACAGTTTCTTTAAGCGCCAGCTGTCTTTTCAAAACGTGGGGTGACCTGAGGTCAATATCCTGCGCGCGCACACACACACACACTGTAGCTCTCCTCGCCCAGTTTGCGGGTGTTGGGAAGGTGTTTCGATGAAACCCCCGGAACGTGTCGGTTCGCCAGCGGGTTATCGGGCCTACCTGTTTCAGCGACCGTTGTGCCTAGCTAGGTCGATATGTTACCCGGATCCAACATGAAGCCTCATCGGAGAGGCATGGCCGCGGTGTTTCGTCCGTGCTTGTTTTATCCTGATCGAAGCCAAAGGCACCTGCACACAAGGCATTTACATGCCCCAAAACGAACAGGTTTAAATCTGCCCAGAGAAAGCCGTCGTGTAGTTCATTTATTCGTCCGCATACATACGTAGTTCGTGACCTCTCAGATAGTCCGCGAGAAACACAAGAGTTATTTTGCTCGATGCATCATGTTTTATACATACCTTCGTTCATGTTGGATCATGAACGAGACAAGTCTGTGGTCAAACAGTGGTATGTGATGATCGGAGACGGAGGGCTCCCTTTACGCGAGAGGTATCATATATGTGCGATGTACGCCCCCCCCGCCCTGTAATGATGCGGTCGCATGCACATCACACACATAAATCGATGAGGCTGCCGGGGCGGCGACTGTGTGTGTTTGTATTTCCGTCCCTGTTGTAAAGGGGGTTGGTGTTATTCGGTCTTTCGAAGGTTAACATGCCAACAAATTTGCCTCCTCTCCGTCCTTCCTGTGCCTGTCAGCAGCCGTTTCCGGTAGGTGGACCAGACATAACATGTTATAAATTGCAGTATGGGTCCCGTCCTACGCTGGTCCCGACAACAACCCCCTACCGAAGTCGACAAAGTATGTACCGTTCGTTATGTATCTTGGGAGAGTCGGTTCCACGGTGACGACTGATGGCTTTACACACGCGTTCTTGTATGACCACTAATTAATACTTCTTGTTGTATTTTGTTCCATCCAACCCCCGTGCACCACGTACTACCCCGTTGAGATCGATGACAAATTGAGGATCCCCCCCCCCCCCTGCTACCCTCCCCCCCTCGGTGTTTGCCATCGGGGTTGGGTTTTCGTCGCTTGGCAACGACGTTGTAAAACAAGCCGCCCCCCCCGGTGTTTGCCATCGGGGTTTGGGTTTTCGTCGCTTGGCAACGACGTTGTAAAACAAGCCCGCCACTCGGTGTTTGCCATCGGGATTGGGTTTTCGTCGCTTGGCAACGACGTTGTAAAACAAGCCAATTCACTTCGTGAACTCGACAACCAGGTTACCGTTTGTTTTTTTTTACCTCGGGTTTTTTTTTGGCGGTAACCATAATGGTGGTCGAGTAGATCATGTTGTGCGGGGTCGAGAACCCTCACTCCGCGCAACGGGGGATGATCGCACCACGTTGTGTTAAAATGGTCAAGCTTCCTCGAGGCAGTTACACAGTGCTTACAACTGTCTCTGGAAGTGAAAGCACCAGAAAATAAATTAAGTCATACGTAGCTGTCATCCGTACGCAAGGAAGTAAGCACAAGATGCCGAACACCCTTAGCAGGATGCAGCTCACCCTTCATGCGACTCGCCAAATACCTCACGGCGCTTCCCCCTTGGTAATGGGAAACCCTGTTCCGGGGAAACCCCGGCGTCCTCCTCCCCGCCTTTGTAGGGTTGGGGGGCCAAGGTCCAAACGATTCCGGCATCCCCGCTTAGGGGTCCCCCCCCCCCCCCCCCCCTGCTACCCTCGCCCGCCCAGATCAACTGAAAGCCGTATCAGCAGCAGTCGAGAGAGGAGACGAAGGAAGGTCGGTCACCACCACCAAAACGCAAAGTCTAGCATACACAACAAGCAAGCGCTATCATACCAACAACTTCCGGGAGTCACGAATGAATGCCTACCCTACCCTACAGTTAGTTGCAGTTAGCGCCCGCGAAACAAACCATTAACTAAGAAACTTAAAGGGAGGGCCAGGGCTCAGATTTTGGCGATAATAATAATGAAGAGAAATCAATCGCGTGAGAAACCCACCTCAGCCAGCCAGCCGTGTGGATCCCACACTAAATATAAGCCCTTTATATATACTGACCTACAGTAGACCTACAGCAGATGCCTCGACGGTGGGGACGAAATGCGAAGGTGTACCGATTCAGGTGAAAGTCAATCGACGGATACAAACCATTAACTAAGAAACTTAAAGGGAGGGCCAGGGCTCAGATTTTGGCGATAATAATAATGAAGAGAAATCAATCGCGTGAGAAACCCACCTCAGCCAGCCAGCCGTGTGGATCCCACACTAAATATAAGCCCTTTATATATACTGACCTACAGTAGACCTACAGCAGATGCCTCGACGGTGGGGACGAAACAAGAAATCGAGCCTCGACCCCAAATTGATGTTTCGCAATGCGGGTGCTCACTGTGTGCATGCTTGTTTGTAGTTTGTTGTGTGGTTCTCAAAGTGGAGGCGCTCTTTGTATCGATTTGCCGCCATCATCATCCACATCAGTCACAACCAACAACCTGGTTCTCTTTCGCTCTCTCCTGCCCCCTGCGGCAGACTTGTTCAACTATTTTGTCTTCTACCTCTCTCTGTCCTTTGCCTGTCTGTCACTATGTACAACGTCGCACAAAGTAAGAGATGATGCTGCACGCCAGCCAGCCTCTGCACACATCTTTCCACTACACGGCACACTGTTAGTCTGACAGGTTACAGGAAGTCAGAGGAGGAGTGCAATGACGACAATCAGCACCAAACGAACGAGTGTTTGCGTGCTTTTTGCTTTGCTCCCCGCCGGATTGTCGGGGACCAGCACACCGGCCTACCGCCGGAAGCACACGGGTTGCTACAGACCGCGCCATCACAAAACAAAGACCTTGCAGTGATAGTCTAAGAACTTGAGTCTTAATGAGCATGCCGAAATCCAAGAGCGTGCTTGGTCATAACAACAGGTGCTCCATCAAGAACCCTATATTAAAACCTATATCGTAGTCAGTCGTCGTGGGGGTAGGTACCCCATATAGATGAAACAAGCAACGAGCCTCCGGCAAAATAAAGAGGTTCGCAAATGGTGGCGCGTTCTGTACTACATACAGTACGCATGCATACACTGGTGGCCAGAGGGGCAGGTTGGGCACGAACTACAACCTGGGCGGGGGAGGTTGGGAGGCCGACTTCGACCTTGAACCCATTTTTTCTTGAGGCTTGCAGCCCGCCGTGTTGATTGCAATATAACGCCACTATCCAAGATGCGGGATACCTTGCTTTGGGCTGCAACCTCCCTACAACCTCCCCCCCCCCAGGTTGAAGTTGGTGCCCCAACCTACGCACAACGTGCCTCTGGCCACCCGTGTACGGTGTCCTACACAGCACCACCGGCAGTGAGAAGCAACCCGGCGCAACCTCCTCCACAGAATACAGAAGGGGCTCCGTTTTATGTCAATCCTGCATGATGCTTGCGTGCAGAAAGTGGTCGATCTTGCGTCGCCTACACTACGACTACTACTGCTACTAGCCTACACGCGGTCGGTCATGCCAACCATTTCTGCCCCCGGTTACGCTATTATTTTGTTTTTCCGACAAGTTCTTCTTTCTGTCCCTCGCGCAATCCCTCCCTCCCGACCGCCTGCATGCACGATGCGTGTTGCCCGATGCCGAGCCTTCTCTCCTGCCGCTAACAACTACGATTGATTCCTGTGGGGGCGGAGGGTTTCTGTTTCAAAATACTCGGCATTGTATGGTACAACCCTCCCTCCGACTCTCTCGAAGAACCGTCTCCAACTCCCGGAAAATCACTCACAGCAGCTAGCTGTCTGTGCGAACAGACCCCGTGCACTTACCACCCAAGTTCGGCGCGTTTGCCACCGTACAAACGTACGTACGTACGTACATACGTACGTACGTGCGGGCAGCAACTACATAGATAGGTGGGGCGAGACTTGTACTATTATGTTGTTCGCCCCTTCCCCATCACCATTAGACTATTCTACCATAACAGCTCGTAAAAGACGAAGCACAACTACTTCTTTTCTGCACTGAGCGCACAACAAGCAGTCTGTATTCCGGAAGTTCTCGCGTGCATGGACATACACTCGCGTGTCTTTTGTCGCCGCGAACTGGTAGAAAACATCCATCGGTCGATCAAAAAAGAAAAACGTAAGAAAGCGGGGCTAGACAAGACAGCATGAGGCTCACCCCCCCCCTCACCCACCCCCCCAAAAAAGAGAAAAAAAACACATGAAAGACAAAGGTTCCGGTGACTCGGGTGCGTACATCAACTTGAGTGCCACGTGCGTGAAGTACGCGTGCAAGTCTCCTTGGCGTCTGCGTTGTTGGATGGTTTCTGTGAGTGGTGCAGAACATTTACAAAAAAACTGGTGTTGTTGATTTGTGGTTCGCCCTCTCTACAACACGAAGACAAGGGCCGCCGCGGCCTCCAACCAAAACGTATCGATCGCACGCTGGATTGGATACAAGCGGCTAGCCCGCATCACGTCTAAGCACGCAGCCCCATTCCATTACTCCCACAGCAAGGAGCACCCCACATCAATCCGAACCCGCTCACAGCAGTAACTTCCACCAATTCCCGTCGTACCAATCCCCGACGACCTCTTCTAATGACACGTGCGTCTCCCGGATCTACAGCCCAGATCGAGAGCGTTTGCTGACACGGGGAGTATGTACATACCTCTCGGGTCGTGTGGCAAAATAACATGCTTGCCTACGCCTCAAAAGCCGACCACTGGTTGTGTCTGCAGGCAGCAGCAGCAGCAGCAGCAGCAGCAGCTCCCAAGGAATCGATCAAGAACTGCCTACCACGGCCGACCCTCGAAAACCGTGGCATGTACGTGCGGGCAGCAAATTCTTGATTTGATCAAGACTACTACAGTCGCTAGGCCCGCGAAAAACACAAGCGGCGCCGAACCCCTCCCCCCCCCCCCCTCCCTCTCGAAATAATCCTCACACGCATGCACACGCGCCGCCGCACGCATAGGGGCGCCGGCGGAGGGAGAGCCATCAGCAGCAAAAGCTATGCAGCTAGCTGGTAGCATGCCTTGGCTGCCCGCCCACAAGCCTCATGAAACCTCGCTGCTCCTCCCCCCCAGACTAAAGCTAAGCTACCATAAACAACGAACGGCAGAGGCGGTACAATAGTGCGATGGGGTGCGCTATTCGGGGAAGAAGGGGGGTGGCGGACCGGGATTTTTTGATCGCACGACAACGCCACATGCGGGGCAGCCACGCAGGCACGACGCAACCCCCCGCTGCCACCGCCGACAAGCCAGAAAGCCGATCCACACACGTACCCCCCCTGTACACCGAAAACAACCCAGCGGAACCGTAGTGTACGTACCGACAAGCAATACCGGAAAGCCAACCCAAGCAACGACGAGAACATACACCTCAAACGATAAAAAAACAGAGAGAGTAAAACGAAACACTGCTGTACCACCTCTCTCTCTCCCCCTCTGTCCCCCCTCTTCCTTCAACCTCATTGCCTTGCGTGTGTGTCCAAGAGAAGCGAGCACATCGGGCGAGCCGCTCACCAGCACCACTCAAAACCCCCAGCAAAGAAACACACGTCCTACAGCTTCAGTCCCAGTAGCTGCTTCAGGACCCTGCTAGGGTCCTCGGTTTGGCCTGATTCCCCCTTCCCGGACGAACTCCGCCCACCTTCCGCTGCTACACCTCCCGCACGCGCCCCCCCCGCCCCCTCGCCCATGTTTGGCTGCTGCTGCTGCTGCTGCTGCTGCTGCTGCTGCGGTGGTAGTAGCATGTCATCCCCGCGTCTCATCCCTGGGTTGCCGTCGTTATCAGCGCCTGAAAAAATAAAATGACCCCGTGCCGCGGGCGGCGGCGGCGGCGGAGGCGGAGGAGGTGCGTCGCTCGGGACGGCGCCGGCCGCACCCCGGCTACCACCGCCGACGACGCCGTTGGAGCCGGCACCGGTGGCGGCATCGGCACCGTCCGCAGCATCCGCGGCGCTCGTGCCCAGCCCTAGCAACGCCTTCAGCTGGTTCGCCTTGACCGCGTTGCTGTTGCTCCCCCCGGTGGTTGCTCCGCCGCCCACGCCACCAACGCCGCCGCCACGAGCTCCTGGCGCGACGCCTGCGCCCGGGCCCGCCGTGCCTCCCGCACGGGCGCCTCCCATAGCTGCCTGCTGGTGCTGCCATTGCTGCCATTGCTGCCATTGCTGGTGCTGATGCTGCTGCTGCAGCATCAGCTGATGCTGATGGTGCTGCCAATGTTGCCATTGCTGCTGCTGGTGGTACAACTGCTGCTGCTCCCTCTGTTGCTGCGATTGCTGCTGGTTGTCTTGCTGTGGCTGCTGCTGTGGCCGTGG